GTATAGTGATTTTGCTGCAGTCCACTGATGAAAATACTAAGCTTCATATGAAACTGTCTTGTAATTCTGGAAATACTTGTCTATATGTAGCTACTTACATGCCATTTTCAAGGTAGAGTCAGGGTCATCTATTTATATGTTTGGACATGACCATCATTCTGGTTCATCAAGCTGACAAAAGACCATTATAGGGACACACTGAAGGGAGGCTTTCAGAACACCCATTTTTAATACTATCTTTCAAAATTAACAATAAAAAATAATAATCAGATAATAGAAGCCAAATTCGCAGTAAATGCCAGTCAGTTAGAATGGAAGGTTTCCTGATCAACTTTCTGTGAATTGCTGCTGATTCCTAATGGTGCAACATATTTCTCTAAGCAAGGACAGGATGTGAAAACAGCATCAACGAAGTATTTGTTGAAGGCTGATTTGAACATTAGCTGGCTTTTCCATTATCTAGTTATCTATTTTGGGGTCACATCCTCAGCTACAATAACCTGATGTCATTCCTTTGAGCAAATATACCTTGGCCAAAGATGTGGCTATCTGTGCTTAATAAACAGTTGGAGTGGCACGATTTCTGAATTCCTGCAATCATGTAAAATGACTGCCTGTCAGAAAGTGGGTGATTCAGCAGTGCAATAATAGTGGCATTTCAAAAAGTCAAAAAGACAGGAAAAAAAAAGTTCAAGGGGATATGTTAAATGAAGGACCACTTATTTGAAAAAAACATCTATTATTCAAATTCTTATTGGTATTCTTCAGATCTCTAAACCCTAAAATAATTCTGCAGTGCAAAAACTGTGTGGGGCAATTACATACAGATGACCAGATTTATTACAATTCTTTCACTTATAAATGTGAAAGAGGTATCTGATTAGCTTGTACTCAAAAAAGCTGGTACCCAGTTCCTGTAATATTTTCCTTCAGTCATAGCCTAAGTTACTAATACGATATTTTAAATCTTAAACAGAAAATGAGTTAGTTTGTGCATTGCTGCATAGGATAGAAGGATAGAGCTGGAATTGATGACCCAGAAGGGCCTCTTATTCTTGAATTCCTGAAATGTGAAATGTTGCCTTGAATGGAAAAGTAAAATTGCTGGTTTTGCTAGGATAACACAGGAAAGAAGTAGAATTAGAGCTTTTAGAATCATACTTTTCTGAATGAAAAGTATAATGAATGCAGTGCATAACTATAAAATCAGCCTTTTTTACTATTTTTTATGAAGCAAAAATTCTTGTTGAGCTTATGATAGCAACCTACTAGAAACTTAACTATATACAAAATCTGCTGTTAGACTACAGGATATGGAGCTGAAGGGAACCGAGGCTTGACTGTCAGACCTGGAAGATATGTGCCAAATAAAAGGTGCTCCTGTGATACAGTTCATCTTGTTCTAGATAAACCAAGGATGGCCTTTTACTCTCTTTGCCTTTGAATATCTGAAACATGCTGATTTAGAGGCAAAGGAAGGTTAGAACACTTTCAGAAATTTAAAAGAATAAAAGAAAGGAAAGTAATAATTACAGTGGAGTATTTCAGGGTGTTTTGCTTGGTTAGCATGATACGAGCAGGTGCTGTTCCAATCGTTACATTTCGTTAGCTTGTACTGATGTACAATGAAGAGAACAAAAGATCATTAATGGAGCTTCTTAATAGGAAGCTGATGTCTCAGCAACATCTTCAAGTTGATCAATATTAGAATCTGTAACTCATCATTTTATGAGGTCTTTTTAAAAAAAGACATAATATCGAGATCATAAAAAAATGTATTTCACTCATTTTGTGGCTATAACCTGCCAGGGAAAGGACACTGAGGTTCCTCTGTAGCACAGCTTGCACTGAACAGGAATGTATATGCATTATTTTTCCACTTCAAGTCTGGCAAGCTTTTTTCAAGCGAGGTCTTGGCCATCCTGTAAGCTAGGTGGCCCATAAAGCCCATGTCCCCCCATTCTGCTGGCTGGTTGTGCTCTGGGCTTTCCCTGGGCATGCGCAACCCACATAGTATAATGCAAAGCTTCAGCTAACCAACCCGTGCCCTGGGTGCACAACTTAAGCCAGTTGCAGCAACTTTGGAGGTACTCATGTACATCAGTACTCTTGCCCACGAGCTCTGCATGTCCAGTGGATGTAGGGAGAAAACATAATTCCCTCCAGCTCAAGTTATCTTGCTTTCAGATTTGGGTTGAGAAGTGTGCAGTGGCTCTCACTGCACCATGTGGATCACAGTAAGCACAGATCCTGACAGACATGGCTTAGCTTGTAAGCACCTAAGCGACATTAATAATTTTGGAGGTAAATGTCTTGCCTCAAGACCTAAAATGGAGGCTAAGGCTAATCTTTTGAGGACTAAATTCGATGGCTTGAATCCCATGGCAGGCATGGTAGTGTTAGGAGGGCAGAAGTACTAAAAGTATCAGGCTAAGAAAATGGATACTGATGTAGGCTAAGCAGGACTGAACTAGAAATTTTATGCTGCTTAAAACCAGCACTGTCAGTGCATACTTGGCTGGTGAAGGAATTGGAAAACCTGAGCTGTTTCGTGCTCACTCTACGTGTTACTGTAGGCAGGTTACAAGTCTTGCTGTTTCCCCAACTTATTCAGATGGACAGCTTTCCAGAGCACCTAGTTAGCCCTGATTACTTACCAGAATCTATCACTGTAAGATACTGATCTCCCACAGGAATGCAAGCACAGTGGTAACAGAGCTTGCAGTATTTAGAAAGACAGAAGATCCCCCCTCACATCAGGACCTGCTCCCTCGCTGCAGGTTACATCTGCAGTCTTAGGTGCCGTATGTTTGTTATCAGCTCTACAGCACTTGCATCTATCTCTGATAGATTCTGGACTCTGCACCTTGCAGGTGTGAAATTATTACATAAGATAAGTCAATTTGAGGTATTTTTAGAGGTTTCTAAAATGTAAATAAATAAATAAATAAATAAATATGCCTGTGTCCCCAGTTCAAGCCCACACCAGCTGTACAACTTAAAAAAATAAGGCATATGCAGGCTATGTGAAGACATAATGTCCTAGCAGAAGCTGTGGAATGACTTAGTTGTAGGGAGTGCGGGTGAAATGCTTTTCTTTTTGTACTCAGGTAGGAAGATAAACCTGCCTCTCGTTTTGTTCCCTATGGCTGTGTCAGTCATCAGGAATCCCAGGGGAATGTCCCTCTCCTGGCCCCACACAGTTCCACAAGATTTGGCTACAGCTTGGATTTTGCTGATACCAGATTGAAATCTGTCCTAAGTTTCAAGGATTTTAGTCCCTGATTTGGTTGAAGTTATTATTGTTTAACAAGTACCTTACAGAGGTAAATCAGACTATAAGTAGAGACTCACTTACGAGCAGCTTCTGCAAATAAAGACTTTCGAAATTACCAGTAAATCCTTCTAAAATTAGGGAAATGAAATTGAGCAGAAAAAAAAAAAGAACTTTACATACCAACCATTCACTAGCCAGCATTTAGGGCAGCTATCATCATAAAGCTTTACATTAATGAAAGATGTATTGAGTTATCAGCCTGGTTATATTATTACTGGAAAGAAGTTGACTTACTCCCTAGTGACACATAAATTGCATATTTGTGTTGGGTGTCAACTTACATATGAGAAGATCTCCTTTTTTTTTCAATATGGATTTATAGCTTTTAAGTTAGCAAATTTATTACGTTGCATCAGTATTTCTCCAGACTCACAAGATACTAATGAAAACAACCTTTCTTAAGGTGCTGATTGACCTCTACTAGCAGAATGACCTAATGTTACTCTCCTGTTCTATGTATGGTTACTATCACAATTCCCTCATATCACTGAGCACATTTTGAAGAAAGGGGACTAAAGGCCGAATATAATGCCAAGAGGGGGTCAATTTATGCACGATTTTATGTGATGCAATGAAATGGGTTGCCCAGCAAAACTCATAGAGCAATTTCTACAGAGCCTAAGTGTTAAGTTCCTTTGTGACTTCCAAAGAAGCAAAGTGGAGAAACTCTTCCAGGCTTTGCTTAGACTGGGAAAATCATGTTGAGCCGGAGGTAGGGGTGAAACCAGACTGACCAGTGACAAGTGTCCAGCCAAGAAAAATGGTGTTTTTTTTTTTTTTATCTAGCCACTGCATACTGGTATTAGCCTATGCCATACAGGTGCTTAATGTCTCCAATTTGCCATTGGCTCTTCTAGTGAGAGCTCTCACTACAGGCAAAGCAGTTCCCCCCAGTTAAGACTCAGTTTCTGTGCTTAAATGAACCAGATATGGACTATTCAATCAGTGCCATGTGTAAGGGGACAGTCTCATTAAGAAAAGACCCTTGCCTCTGCCACCTAGATCTCAAACTTGATATACTATTTCCATAAGTATTCCATTCACCTTCATTATAAATTCTAGGTACTTCTAAGTTTTTCACTCTAGCAATTCTTACTGAGATTCTCAGACGCTTTGTACAAAGTGTATTAAGAAATCAATATACATAATAAAATAGAATCTAAAAGGCTTCAGGACTGCCATCCAACACAGTAACACCCAAACTACTTCAGTGCACATGAATGACAGGATGCAAAGGCAAGCTGATTTCAAGCAGAAAGGACAGAACCCTTTGCTGCTGGCCCTTTAGGAAAAACCTTTCATATCTCAGGTCCTAGTATGCTTGAACTTGATATTCATCTCATCCTTCAAGTTGTCCCTTTGACATGACCTTGAGGGTAGTCACTGGATCTTCAGGGTCAGCAGGTTCCCCTTTTGCCTATAAGGATTTTACCCTGCCATTGGCCAAGCAGGGCTGGCCTAGATAGTATGGGAATCAAATGTGAGCAATCCTTAAAAATAAAAAAATCAATATGCAAACAGAATTGCTATTTGCATCATCATGACCTACAGAACTTGGAGACAAGCTGAATCATCTCTTCATTGAACAGAAGGAGAGGAAAAGAGATGCCACAATAAAGAAGGATAAAAAAATAATATGCTTGCATTTTGTTTTCTTTTTCAGGTACCTCCATCATCTACCCTTCTTGATGTGAAACACAAATTTCACAAAGCATGTAAGTATTACAGCTAGCAGGCGGGAGGCATGGTTAGAGGCCTTGGAAAAACTGTCAAATTTATTTTTCATGAGATCTTGCATTAAAGCTGAGACTAACTTGACACCTCCAGTGCTAAATTAGAGCAGGTCTTGGACCAGGGTGCTACTGTAGCTACCACAGATTTGAGAAGCTGGAAGGAGAGGACTGCGTAATTTATCAATGACAGCCTATGAGCAACAGTGCTTTTCTATCCTCTGCTTTTACTATTACAGTGTCAATTCAAGACTGTAACTGTGTTTGGCCTCACAGCGTTAAATTAGATAAGCTTCAACGACATCATACTGCTTCATGCTCCCTATGTGGACGAAAGAACTGCTGTAGTTGAGAAGTCAAGCAGAGAGTGATGAAGTGACTTGTCTGGGCTAACGCAGGCAGAGTTCTCAACTGACTCAGCACGACCCAGTTTCCTAACAGTCTGGGCAACCTCACTTTGTTTTGGCAATGTGGTTTTTACTTTTGGTAACCTTGAGAGTCACTCCCATTTGACATAAGCAGGTCTGTGTATTGCTTGTAATTTCAGTTGGGACTTCTTAGAACTGAAGGAGTACTTAGTTGGGCAGAAAAAGATGCAACAAGAACTGAGGGTTGCAAGTGAAGGCCAGATAAACTCTAATTAAGAAAGAAACGGTGGTTTCTTGTACTTTGGGGCAGAGTGACTGGAGAGCTGCATGGCAGAAAAGGATATGGGGGTGCTGGTCGACAGCTGGCTAAATATGAGCCATCAGTGTGCCCAGGTGGCCAAGAAGGCCAACGGCCTCCTGGCTTGTATCAGGGACAGTGCAGCCAGCAGGACCAGGGGAGTGATCGTTTCCATGTGCTCAACGCTGGTGGGGCTGCACCTCGAAGACTGTGTTCAGTTTTGGGCCGCTCACTACAAGAAAGACATTGAAGTGCTTGAGCATGTCCAAAGAAGGGCAGTGAATCTGGTGAAGGGGCTGGAGCCCAAACCTTAAAAGGAGCAGCTGAGGGAGCTGGGATTATTTAGTGTAGAGAAGAGGAGGCTCAGGAAAGACCTTATCACTCTCTGCAACTACCTGAAAGGAGGTTGTAGTGAGGTGGGAGTCGGTCTCCAAAAGAGCTACTGAAAATAGGACAGGAGGAAATGACCTCAAGTTGCAGCAGGGGAGGTTCAGGTTAGATATTAGGAAAAATTTCTACATGGAAAGAGTAGCCAAGCATTAGAACAGTTTGCCCAAGGACGTGGTGGAGTCACCATCCCTGCCAGTGTTCAAGAAGCGTGTAGATGAGGCACTTAGGGACATAGTTTATTAGGCATAGTGGTGATGGGTTTACGATTAGACTTGATGATCTTGAAGGTGATTGATGACCAACAGCTAGTGGGGAATGATGGGACTCATCTTAGCAAGAGGGGCACACGTCTCTTTGCAAAAAGGCTGGCCAACCTGGTTAGGAGGGCTTTAAACTAGGCAAGAAGGGGGAAGGGGAGTGGCACACTGAC